TGACCGACGCCAGCATCTTCGCGACCAACTCGTTCTCACTTCTAACTTCTTCACCCTTGCTCCAATGTGCTAACCACCAAGAATTTGCATCCGGCGCAATAGAAAATAGGCATTCTATTTTCCCGAAAGCGCCGAATCCGCCTCAATAAGCTCGGCGGGAGGGAGAGAGGGACCCAAACCCATCTCACCCCTGCAAACACCACCTCCTTTGTAAATGTGCCAACACCACCAAGTGTACACCATCATGTGTATGTGTGTTAGCATTTTCACAATCATTTCCCAAAGGATGTTAGCCACTCAACTTGCCACGCCACTCGATCCTAGCGACAATGCAAAGTTAGATCACTCAAGTGGCACTAGATGACCGATATGCAAACAAGTTTGCCCTCTTGATAATACGGCCATCTATCCTAAACCCGGTCATAAACTTCTCTACACACCTATGACCGGTGAAATGAAATGCCCTAGGTTATACCTTTGCCTTGTGCATTCCATTCCATCTCCTTCAATGTCGATGCAACACATGCACCAACACGATCAACAATGATATGATCCACTTCATATCATCACATGATCATATTGGTTCATCGATCTTGACTCTACTTGCTCTTCACCATTGCTATCGTCCATCGGCGCCAAGTCTTGCTCAAGCTTCACCGCCACGCGGTCCATCACTCCAAAGCCTTTGACTTGCCCTTCACGCTTGCAACCGGTCCATCAAGCCAAGTCTTGTCTTGATCTTCTCCACCTTGATCACATGACTCAATGTCATGTCTCATGTGCGTTAAGCTCCTTCATCATCACATGTGTGAGCTTTGCAACATCTCTAAGCCATTTTCACTTCCATGGCGTATGTTGCTCACACACATGTACCTGTGGACTAATCACCTGTGTATCTCACATAAACACAATTAGTCCACCTAGGTTGTCACTCAATTACCAAAACCAACAAGGACCTTTCAAACGGTGAAGAGCAAGTAGAGTCAAGATCGATGAACCAATATGATCATGTGATGATATGAAGTGGATCATATCATTGTTGATCGTGTTGGTGCATGTGTTGCATCGACATTGAAGGAGATGGAATGGAATGCGCAAGGCAAAGGTATAAGCTAGGGCATTTCATTTCACCGGTCATAGGTGTGTAGAGAAGTTTATGACCGGGTTTAGGATAGATGGTCAGATTTATCAAGAGGGGCAAACTTGTTTGCATATCGGTCATCTAGTGCCACTCGAGTGATCTAACTTTGCATTGTCGCTAGGATCGAGTGGCGTGGCAAGTTGAGTGGCTAACATCCTTTGGAAAATGATTATGAAAATGCTAACACACATACACATGGTGGTGTACACTTGGTGGTGTTGGCACATTTACAAAGGAGGTGATGTTTGCAGGGGTGAGATGGGTTTGGGTCGGGATTCGGCGCTTTCGAGAAAATAGAATGCCTATTTTCTATTGCGCCGGATGCAAGTTCTTGTGGTTAGCACATTGGAGCAAGGGTGATGAAGTTAGAAGTGAAAACGAGTTAGTCACGAGAGATCGGGCGTCGGTCAACCGACCGGACGCTGGATTCGAATGCACCGGACGCCGGCAGTCGCGTCCCGGCCAGCCGACGACGATGACGCAGAAGCCGGAGGTGACCGGACGCCGGTCAAGGTCCGATTATGTGACCGGACGCGTCCGGCCGAGGTCGGTAGATTTATTGAAACGACCGGATTGGGGGTTCAGCGTCCGGCCGCTTGAAAGCCGCGTCTGGTCAAGTCATGTGACCGTTGGAACCGGGACACGTGGGCTGCTCGGCGGGCGACGGACGCCGAGGTCCAGCGTCCGGCCAACACGACCGAAAGCGTCCGGTCGGCCCGACCGCTGCTGCCTGCTGAAGGGGTAACGGCTAGTTTAGCCCTTGGGGCTATAAATAGAAGTGGCTTTCGGCCATGGCTGGTGCCGAGCACCTCGGGGACTTAGTGTCCATGCTTGTGAGTGCTTGGGAGCCTCCATCACACATATACTTGATAGTGATCATTCGATTGTGTGTGAGTGAGCGATTCTAGTGCGATTGCATCGTGAGGTTGCATCGAGTGGCACTAGGTGGTCGTGTTGCAAGCCGGTGGTGCTTGTTACTCTTGGAGGTTGCCACCTCCTAGACGGCTTGGTGGTGGTCTCCGCCGAAGCCCGCAAGAAGCTTGTGCAGCGGCGCCCCGAGAAGTGCTTGTGAGGGGTACTTGTGCTCGCCTTCCGGAGTCGCTAAGAGCAACTTTAGTAAAGCGTGTCATTGAGCTACCTCACTCAAGGGGTAGGTTTTTGCGGTGCCCGACGCGGCGGGCTTAGCGGGTGATGCTAATTAGTCACCAACCACCAAGTGAGCGGTCGACACAACGGGGACTAGCGTGTTGGCAAACACGTGAACCTCGGGAGAAAAATCATCGTGTCAACCTTGTTCTTCCCATTGGTTTACATCCCCATTACACAAGCTTGCAATTACTTATATATATATCTTAAGCTTGTGTAGTTGCTCTTATAATTAGATAGCTTGTGTAGCTAGCTAATTACCTTCTTGCTTGTGTAGCATAGAAGTAGCTCCCTTGCGTGGCTAATTTGGTTTTAGTAACCTTGTTAGTCATATTGCTTAGTTTGTGTAGCTAAGTATTTGCGCTCTCTAATTAGGCATTGGTTGCCTTGTTATTGAGCATTGCTAGTGAGCTTAGTTAGCTTTGTGCTTTTGCTTACTAGCATGTGTAGGAGCTCCCTTGTTACTTAAAGTACTAGTGGCATAGGTTTGTGTGACCTTGCTCCTAGAATTGTTTAGGAGAGCTCTAGCTAGCACGGCACCTTAGTTGCTTTATTAGTATCTTTACAAGGTGCTAGTGAACATATATAGAGGGGTGTAGTCTTGGCTAGACCGATTGTTTTAATTCCGCATTTATATCGGTTAGCCGACGCGATTAATTTTAGAAAAGACTATTCACCCCCCCTCTAGTCCGCCATCTCGACCTTTCAGCGGTCCAGCGAGATGGACACGTACATGGGTTGATCAACGTGCGGTGGTTGCACGCGTACAGCTGCCCGGACTGGGCGGAGGCGCCACCGTTTCGTTCCCCGCCCAACTGCGGGAGCGAGCCATGGACGCGCCACGACTGGCTCATGGCAGCTAGGAGCGCCGTGAAGGAGGGAGACAAGGTGGAAACGCTGCATGCCGGCAATGACTGGGACAACGACGGCATGGTCCTCGACGACGAGGACGGCGACGGCGTGGCCCTCGGTGGGGAACGGTGTGGCTCTGGACGAAGGGACGACGACGACGGCGTGGTAGTCAGACCAGAGATGGCATCGTCGTGGCTCTTGACGAGGGGATGGCGACGACGCGTCGCTCAGAACGTCGGCGCGGCTCACCATGGGGTCTCGGCAGGACCTGGGCTAGATGGGCCTTGATTTTGTGAGGCCTATGTGACACTTTGGTATTGAAATCGTTGGATCAGCAGCGGACGGTGCAGATGACCTGACTGTAGGGTGAAGCCGGTGAGGGCCGATCTGATTCCACCACGCCTGGGCCTTGGAGAGGAGGCGGCGCTCCTGGAATCAGATCCTCTGCAGTCGAGTGGCTCGACTTCACCCTGCAGTCAGATCATCTATACTGTCCGCTGCTGATCCAACAATTACTCTGCCAAAGTGACACACAGGCCGCACAAACTCAAGGCCTATCATAGCCTAGGTCCTGCCGAGAGGTTGGTGAAATCGCCGCTATCGTCTTCCGCTCTGCGCACCGGCGTTCCTAGCGACTACCGTGTCATCTCCGTCCCCTCGTCAGGAGCCGCGTCGTCGCCATCTGACTATCGCGTCGTCTCTATCCCCACGTCGAGGGCCGCGCTGTCGTCGTCCTCGTCGGTTGAGGGCCGCGCCATTGCCGTCCTTGTTGTCGAGGGCCACACGCCGTCGCTGTCCCGGTCGCTGCCGGCATGCAGCGTTTCCACCTCGTCTCCCTCCTTCACGGCGCTCCTGGCTGCCACTGGCCAGTCGTGATGCCTCCGCGGCTCGCTCCCGCAGCTGGGCAGCGACGGAAACAACGGCTCCTTCACCGGGTCCAGGCAGTTGTACGCGTGCAACCACCGCACCCGTGTACGTGTCCATCGCGCTGGACCGCCCCGTGCGCGTCGTGTCCGACAGCCTGAGCCGCGTGTCCGACCTCATCTCCCCGATCGGCGCAACCGTGCGCCTGGCCCACGATGACATTGTGGTGGTCTGCCCCCGAGGGCAACACCTGCCGCGGGCCGTACCTGCTCCGCTTCAGCCCGCTCTTCACCGTGCTCGCTGGCGCTGGCGGCGTCGTGCCAATCGTGCGGGCGGTCGAGACCGGGATGTTCTACGACACGACGGCCAGCAGGTGGAAGGGCGTGGACCCCTTCTACTACCTGTCCAACCCCAGGGCGTGCTACACGGTGTAGAGCATTTGTGATAGCTTAGGGCCTTCTCCTCTTCTGCGGTGTCCTTCTTCAGTGATAGGCGTGGCTCGGCAGTGAGGAAGACGAGTACAGAGGCAAAGGAAGTCGCCATGGTGAGCTAGCTATCGTGGTGGCTTGGGTTGAGATGGGCCAAGGCCCAACGCATGGAAGCCTGGTGGGAGCCGTTTATCGTTCGATCTTTAGTGAAGGGTCTGATGTCCCTGACTGCAGGGTGAAGTCGATCACTGTGACTGCAGAGGATCTCATTTCCGTCGCCGTGGCTGAGCACCCCCTCCTCCTTGGAGCTGCGGCCGGAGGCGGAGGCGGAGCCCATCACGGCGGGCGGCGACTGGTGGGATGGGATGCAAGCGAGGAAGGATCGTGGGCCGGGTGTGGCTGGGCCTTCATCCTCTTTCTATCTATCTAGGCCCAAGGCAGGCACAGCCCACAAGGAAGGATCCGACCCCTTGAATTAATATGCCTGCAATGACCATTCACCCTCTCGCGCAACAACAAACCCTAAACCCAGGCCTCTGTCCTCCCTCTCGCGCCGCCGCCCGCCCGCCATGTCGCCGCCGCAGCCGCCACACCCGGTGCCCCGAGAGACGGTGGCCAGCGCCGTCGCCTCCCTCACCAAGTGGATGAAGAAGCGCGCCGCAGAGGCGCGCCCGAACCTCCTCGCCGACGAGCGCGACGACCTCGTCGTCCTCCAGCTCTCGCTCCGCCGCGTCCCGGCCTCGCGCAGCACCAGGCCTCGCCTCCTCCCGCTGCCGCATCCCGTCGTCGGGCACGACGTCTGCGTCATCTCGGACGATCGCCCCAAGTCGGGGTCCCCTTCCGCGTCCGACCTCCTCCACGCGTCCAAGCTCCCCGTCTCCGAGGTCATCCCGCTATCCACACTCCGCACGGACTACCGTCCCTACGAGTCGCGGCGCCGCCTCGCGGCCTCCCACGCCCTCTTCGTCGCCGACCGCGCCATCCTCCCGCTGCTGCCGCGCGTCCTCGGGAAGGCCTTCTACTCCACCAACAAGGCTCCGATTGGAGTCGATTTCACCCGCGTTGGATGGCCGGAGCAGGTCCGCAAGGTCCTTGGCTCTGCTTTTCTGTACCTGCGCTCCGGGACCTGCTCGGGGATCAAGGTGGGTAGGCTGGACATGGAGGAAGAGGAGATCGTGGACAATGTGATGGCCGCGGTGGAGGCGGCTGTCGAGAAGGTGCCAAAGAAGTGGGCCAACGTTAGGGCGCTGCATCTCAAGGCTGTGGATTCAGTTGCCCTACCAATTTACCAGGTTGTGCCAGAGTTGGGTATGAAAATTGTTGGTTAGCACTGTGGCTTCTGCTGATGACAGCCAGAAGGTTGGCAAGAAGGGAGACAGGGGCAAGCGTCGTTAGGAAAATGAAAACTAGGTGAAAGAAGCCAGTTTGGACAAGAAGAAGATTAAGAAGGGGAAGACTGAGGAGGGGAAGAAGAAGAAGAAGAGCATGAAGGTTTCTTCTGAAGTTGTTTCTTTTGGTTTTGTTAGCTTAGTAGCCCTTTGAGTTATAGAAGTATGGCAAAACTGTTTCTTGCTAAGACTATGTACTTCGCTCGACTTGCAACAATTTTGTGTTGATTCTCTAAGAATATGCTTATGTTGTCACGACATTGTGTTGATTCTCTATCTTGGAGAATGTATTTTTAGTCTCATGTTTTCTTCCAGATTCCTAGATCAAGATTTTAGCATCTTGAGTTGTTGTGATTAGTACCACGCCTTCACCGCCGAGTCGCCTATGCCCTGGCTGCCGTCGGCTCCGGCGCCTGGGCACGCTCACACCATTGGGGAGCAGAAGGCGGTGGATGAAATGGTGGACGGGTTTGGGGTCGGGAGGCTGCAGGGGCTCCTCGGCTCTGCGGTCAGGCAGGCGGCCGAGATGGATTGGATGTACGCAGGGATGCTCAGAAAGCTGGAGAAGCTCGCCAGGGAGGTTGGAGAAGAGCAATCTCCGTGTGCTCGAGCAGGTCTGGTTCTCCAATCCTGTGATTCCTGTCTGCACTGTTGATGTTCATCATAGATTTCGATTCTCCATGAACAACTGTGATTCTGTGTGATTGATTGGCTTAATAATTGGTTAAACTGCCTAGTGCTAGAATTGTCCATTGTTAGATAGAGAGACTGTGAATTTGTAGCAGTTGCATTGTGGATTTTTTGTCAACACTCAACATGGGAAACTTAGATAAGCCTTGCATAGCGGGATAGGGGGGCAGCTAAACTGCCTATGCTAGAATTGTCTTGTAACATTAGATTCGACCATTTAACAGAAGGCAGCTATTTTGGTTCCACTCAGCATTCACCATAGGTTGCCTGAATTCTCCCAATGCACTCCTTGTTTTGAACCAGCTGCATGCATTAGTATAGAACTATCCGGTAACAGGATAGGAGGCACTTGTAAAGCTGCAGTATCTATTAGATAGCTCTTCATTTTTAAGTGAAAACTGTTAGAATTTTGATGATCTACAAAGCCAAAACAGTTGGGTATAGCAGGTCTGCAACTATTGTACTATTGATTAATAATTGTATTTGGCAAGAGACATCACCAACTAAAAAGTTGGGGAGGATGGGAGAGGAACCAAGAATATCAGTTCCAACATGCCATAAATGGATGACACAAAATGGTATTTTGAATTCCTTAGCTGCTTAGGTCTGTTTGAACATTATTACAACAGTTGGATTGCGACTATAATCTATATTTACAGTTGACTAAAGCCCTAAATTGGCATTTCATACTGATTGCTTCCGTTTAACAGTTACCTGAATATTCAAGGCAGATTGCATGTACTCTTCTGCACCTTCCTTGTTTCAAACCATTAACGTGCATTGTAATGGAAGTTTCTGGTAACAAGCTAAGGAACACTACCTATTAGGCAACTCCTGTATTTTTTTTCCTTTTGGCGAGGAATAACTCTTGGAGTCTTGGTAGTTTATTAAGTCATATCAAATGGGCACCGGGGGCTTGGAGTTGCTGTATTATTGATTGAAAGGGGGAAAGGAAACAAGAATCTCAATTCTAGTATGCCCAACATGAATGATGCAAAATGCAACAGCAAGCCAGCCCACCTGTGGACTGTGGTATAGAGATCATCTGATAGGGCTTACCGTCCTAGGGGGACTTACATTGTTGGAAAATGGGATGATGGCTTATGTTGGGAAACACCATAAAATGTTTGGTGAGGTTGTGGTGATTGGGGTTTTGCGAAAACAACTCTTGTGAGATTTTAGGCTTTCTGCTTTTCTTCATGACAAGCAAATGCAGTAGATGGTGAGTTTAAGAACAGAGATCGATGAAAATGATAAAGGCCTATCTATATAGTTACCCGTACTAGTTTCTATTTGGTTGGTTTGCTACATATGAGGAGCATTGTTTCCATTTTGTGATTTGGTACCCTGTGAAAATTACACCATGAGCTGGGGCTTCTTAGGGCCTATCTGTCAGGTGCTAAATTGCTGAACTACCATAAGTGCTTGCTCTCTGTTATACTTTGTTATTAAAATGACTTGGTCTGAAAACTGAAAAGATTAATCCTTTGCTGCATAAAAAAGTTGGAGCCCTTATCCTCTGATCAGATTTTTATTTATGCCCCCCTTCCCCAGTTATTACTGAGTGAATAGTGGACATCTGCTCATCAGTTATTGATATATGTCCTTTGACTCCATTCTTCAATTGCTTTCTGAAGTCAACTCCCTTATCTTTTGTTCTTGTTATTTTGTATGTAGGAGAAGAGGAACCTGCTGCTGAGGTATAAATATGCGGGAATGGAATAGGACCAAAGCGTTTTTGGTCTTAGCAATGTATGTATCCTGACTGAGTTAAAGGGGTTTTTATCAAACCTTTTCTTAGTGTGTCATGCAGATTTGTGATGACCTGAATGTTCATTAGTAATTCCAAGTCATGCTCCTGTTTTGATAATATTATATTTCATGTGCCATGTATTGTTTTGTTACTAACTGCTACAGACATCTTCAGATTAACAATACGGGATCCGGACCATTTTCGTATTTGCGGGAAAATATAGTAACGGGATGGGAGAGGATTTCCTGCCTGTTTCTAGCCGTTTTCATCCTTATCTGTACCATATCTTTTTTGAATTTAGACAGAAAATGGTTGGAACACTGCCCTTCTTATAAGACAATGGATAATAATTACCTGGACACATAGTCTGGTAGAGTATCCTGTTGGAAAGTTATGTTAATAAACAGTTATTGGGACTGATTCAGGTCAAGGTTCTTCGGAACAGCATGAACCATGCAGTCCAAAAAGCTGCACTTTACTGCTCTCCTAGTACAGTAGCCAGTGCATGTCGATCTCTCCATTTGCATGCCAGGATACCCTGGGGCTGATCAAGACTCTCTTCTTGAAAAACATCTGTCAGATTTTGCATAATTCGCATGTTAGGGGTCGATAATAATGTGCATAGGATGAGACTGACAGGGGATCGATCATTAGGAACTGCGAAAGTGTGTGTAGCGGTGATGTAAGATGTTGCGAAACCATTCCATTGAACCAGCCCACATGATAATCATGGTCGTGCATGCTATTAGCTTTCAGTCTTGTAATAGCCTATTAGCTTTCAGTCTTGTATAATAGCCTATTAGCTTTCAGTCTTGTAGTAATAGCCTATTAGCTTTCAGTCTTGTTTCACAGGTCGTGCATGCTCAACTTGAAATTGTTAATTTGTGCATGCACGCAAACCAATACATATCCCAAGCAGTGAATAACATGAACTTTTCGCTAAATGAAGTCCCAATCACGCTCTTCTTCGCCACTTTCTTCTGGATAAAGAATAGTGTTGTGCCCAGCAATGAAGCTACCGCAATTAGGATGTATAAGATCTTTTGCCCGAAGTTGACACCCTTTGCAGCGAGCTTAAAAAAAAGACAAATGCGTCAGTGAATGGTCAATGGAAATGAAACAAAAACATACGAAAAAAAAACATATAATGTTGGAGCATATATAGTGTACTAATATAGAAAATTGAAGGAGATGTGAAGATGAGCAAATGTGAAGGTACGAACCTTGGTCATTCTTTTTTGATGGATTGCAGTCATCCACACCCAAAGGCTTGCAGAGATAAACATCTTTCTCATCTCTGAGATTATGATGCACTTCAGCAAAAAACATCGTATGTTTACCATCGAGCCCTTTCACTAAAAAGTTGAGATGCAAATATCCTTTACAAAATTCACCAATAATGTTTCTATGTTTCACTTCCACGAATTCAAGATCGGTAGGCTGCAATGTAATAATAATATAAAAAAGATGTTAATAGGCCACTTCAAATAAATGGTAAAATGCGTTTCAGCTAGGGAGCTGAGCTAGGTTAAATAATAAGCTAAATCAATGGTCTGACCTACAAAAGGTTAAAAAATAAACTGCATGTCCATTTTCTGAAAACTGAATAAGAATAGTAGTAGAATAGCTAACTAATATGAGTTAATTAGTTTCGATAAGTACAAAACTACATGTTCATTCTGAAAAAAACATAATATAAGTATATCAATTATATTAAATAACACAGTAGTATAGTCGATGAAGAATAACCAGAACACTAAAAACAAGTATTGGTTGGTTTAGATATTAGTAACTAGTATAAACTACTACATGCCCATTCTCGAAATCAAAATGAAGTAGCAATATGCCAAACACAATAGTATATAGGTCTGACCTGCATGTTATTTTGCTTGGTGTAGGCTTCCAATGCTACCACCGAGCTCTTACGATCATGCTCTGCTCTTTCCTCCTCACTAGGCTTAATCGAAGAAAAAGGGAAGTAGCTGTAGTCATGACTGAGAGCCTCAACACAAGCGTCATGAAGATCATGGACTGTAAATTCTGATTCTCTAGGAGTGGGGTCATTCCAACTCTCCAACCTTATGTCAAGACTGCATGAGAAAAAATATATAAAAAAAATGATTATTATCAGTTTAAGCGCAGTAGCAGCCAAAAAAAAATGTAAAACGAAATGATTATCATGTTTAATGCTATTGTTGCATGCCAAGGAGTAAGTTCAATTTGCCAGCTTTCAATTGGAGAGTTGAACCTCATCAATTGAGGTACAAACTAACTCGTATTAGTACAAATCGAGAGATCTATCGCTGTAGTGATGCAACCTACGTATACAGCTAATAAAGAATTTAAGCCCTGCAGATGAGATTTACATCCTTGGCCCATATCGTAGGTATATCCTTCAGCGTACACAGAAAAGCCATAATAACAAAATATAGTTTAGAAGAGAGGGAGTAACAAAGATACGGTAAGACGGTGGATAATATACTGTATACGTACCCGCCGGAAGTTTTTTCCTTTGCGGTCGCGGAACACCGTCCCAACGGTTTTTGACGAAATAACGAGGTACGCCGTCGTGTTGGGAGCTGCTCCTGCTCCTGCTGGGCGACGACATGCCGGCCGGCCGGCCAGCTGCAGCCACCGGCGGTGTGGGGCAAAAAGGCAGCTCACGGCGTTTGCTGTTTGCTCACCGGCGACGAGGGCTGCTAGCTTTCTTCTACGATCCGCCGCGGGAGGGCTAAGGACATGGATCGGACGTTGAGGTGGGTTCGTGTGCGTCTGTGTACTATGTCTATGTGGGCATCCAGGCCCCGCCGACTCCTTCTCCGGGTCCGATTAGGTTCTGTTTGGGCCGTGCTTTATTTCCTTCCTTTTAATGGGTTCACGTTACATCATATGAGTCCCCTCTGATCTGGTGTATGGAGAATCCAGCGAACATCGGCGCGGTTGGCAACATAAACGGCGAATTATCAGGAAGTGTGACAAACAGTGGTCTGCTGGGTTTGGTCGCTGGGCGGCAAGGCGCTACATACCCTGACAGCGACCATGGCTTGCCTGCTATCAAAGTCCTGCGTCGGCTGTCCACCGGTGAAGGTGTGAAGCTCAAGCCATGGAACGCACCGCGCCGCGTCGTCCTCAGAGGAGTAGAGAAGCCGAAGGCGTCAGGGATGTTGATGTCAATCCCTATTCGGCTGTCGTGTTTGGACTCTTCGTCCCTCTAGACGGTGTCGAGCACGACGGCGAAGAGATGGTCTGCA